TAAGAGCAGAGAGCAACTTCACTCCTGAGTCTCCTACATTATTATCAGACAGATTCAGTTCTCTCAGGTGTGAGGGGATTGATCTCAGAGCTGAAGTTAGAGCCGCACAGCCTTCATTTGAGACACCACAACCACGCAACCTGCAGACAGGTTAAAAACCATACAATGACACACTCTTCACTCTCTCAATTGTTGGATATAAAATATACAGAAATAAACACGGGAAACCCAGTATGAGTAATATGTAACTTTATTGAAAATTCACAGGACTGGTGGGCGTGTAATCCTGTGGCAAGCGGTGCGGGGGGAAAACGGATGGTACAATGAGGTGCGTCCTGGGCACGTGGGATAGCCAGCCGAGGTGTAATTAGGAGAGTACTAACTGGCAGGTGAGAAAAAGGAAGAATGGTCAGAGCCCAGGTCAGAGAAGGTGACATCATCGTCAGACTGAAAGCTGGAGGGAGGGTCAGGCATCGGGTCTGTCTGTGTAGAGGCGTCAATACACAAATTCACGGGGTTGATTCTGTATCTGAGAGGTGGGGGGAACCCCGCATTTCCATCACCAGAGCAGGTGCGAAAAATGACAAGTAGCACAGCGATGTCAGAAGTGATATGCGCGATCTGATAGCGAGTGTTCAGATCCAAATCCAGCCCCTCCAATAAAGGAAAGAAAGAAAAATGACGGGCACCTAGACACACAGGAGTGGTATTAGCGGATATCGATGAATTGGATTCACACTTTAAGATTAACACACTAGGATTTATTTATTAGTCAATGAGAAATATAAGAGATTTAAGGAAACGCACACATAGATAACACACAACTCTTACACAGTCAAGGATGGGCAGGAAGACACAAACAACACAAAAAACACACACGACTCTCTCTCTCACACACACACACACGCACCCATAGGCCCCTAACGCACACACACATCGTAAGGAAAGAAAGCAGAACATTATAACTTTATAAAAATAATAAAAGGAGTATTACAACATTATAAGGATAATATAAGGAGTAGTAGGATATGTGGGATATTAGAAGGATAATATAACGATATTATGAAGTAGGGAGTACAGTAAACCACTTGTAAGCAGTATAACCATATATAAAACAGAAATATAGAAGGAAACTATGAACCAGAAATACAGAAAAATGTAAAAGATACTTACTCATAATGCAGGCGGTGAAGAGTCTTTCCTCGCGAGGAAAAGTCAGGAGTAATGAAGGTCTTAATTTTTAAGAGAGAACCATGAAGAGCCATTTATAAGAATACTTGAGTCACATTGCACCTGCGAGATAACAGTCAGAGCCCAGGACCCCCCAAATTGTTTTGTCTCGTCCCTCTTTCTAACCTAATGGTATTTTAAAATTCTCTTTTCAAAATATACTTAGAAATCTGATAAGCTTTGTTCTAGAACATCATGGTATTCTGATAAGCTTTTCTTAACATCATGGGAAATTTTTATAAGCTTTTTTTAACATCATGGCAATGTAGACGAGCTCTTTTTAAACGTATTGGTATTGATATCATATTCTTTTTCAAACATATTGGTGTAATAATGTATAAATACAGTATACATAAGGGAGCTTGAGCTCCAGGTGTCAGATCACTTCTGAGAATTCTCAATGGTGTGGATCTTATGTGGTGGAAATAAATTCTAGACCTTTGCTTTTCCTCACTCACGGCTGGTGTCTTTTTTCTATCTCCAACTGAGTTTGCAGATGTGAGTATTGGCTTCTATGTTGAATTTGAAGTGTCTTTGGGTAATAGGCTAAATTCGGGCCAGCACGATATTAGGTATTATTATATTATATCACTCTCTCAATATTCTCTCGATATTATTAATGACTTAAAATATGATCTTACCTCAGTGTCTCCAGTTTACAGTGAGGATTCTCCAGTACAGCAGAGAGACTCTTCACTCCTGAGTCTCCTATTTTATTAGAGGACAGCTCCAGTTCTCTCAGGTGTGAGGGATTTGATCTCAGAGCTGAAGTCAGAGCAGCACAGCCTTCATCTGAGACACCACAACCACACAACCTGTACAGAGACACAATGACACTCTTCACTCTCTCGATCTCAGCAGAGGAACAACAGCACTGACTTTCCTCTGGGTGTAAATAGTTTCTCTCATTGTGGACTGAGCAACACACACTAGATCTTTAGAAATGATTTTAGTAACTTTTCCTCACTTCACACATCTCAACAAAATCTCTATTTTAATCAGCATTCACATGAACAAATCTTTCTTGAGAAGATCAGACTGTCCATAATCAGAAGATTAGAACATGTTTTATTATTAATGATTTAAAATATAATCTTACCTCAGTATCTCCAGTTTACAGTGAGGAATCTCCAGTAGAGCAGAGAGACTCTTCACTCCTGAGTCTCCTACATTATTCTCAGACAGAGTCAGGTCTCTCAGGTGTGAGGGGTTTGATCTCAGAGCTGAAGTCAGAGCAGCACAGCCTTCATCTGAGACACCGCACTTATACAACCTGTACAGAGACACAATGACACTCTCTTCATCAACAGATTTTTATTATGGTTTACTTGCTATGATGATAATGTGCCTTTTATGTTGGACTTTCTTCTCTCTCTTGAGCAATCACAAGATATAATTATCACTGAACAAGACATTAACACGACAAATCACACAAATTATTTCAGCTAAGTGATATGATTAAAGATGACGTGTACAGACACAGCCATCATTTTGTTTTTATCACAGTTAAAATGACTTTGTTTTGCCGTTGCCCTGTGCACTCATCAACCAACTGCAGTTCTGTTCTTCATCTCTCTGACAGCATGCTCCAGTGTTAACACAAACTGAAATACATTTCATCTCATTATATCCTCTGATTACAGTGTACGAGAGTCAGGGGGAAAAGACACGGTGTGGAGTCTGTTTCAGAGAAGGTAAACACTTTATTGAACTAGTCTGTTAGACGGATACACACCACGCATAAATGCAGCTCAATGCAGCTTCTTAAAGCAGCAGCTCCTAGAGAGTGAGATCTGATTTTATAAAACATTCATTCTGAGGAGAATTAACACTCATGTCTTCTCTAAACCAGATTATTGCTGATAATTTATTGTTAAATAAAATATTCCTGGATTATAAAGCAAATGGAAAGTAAAAATGTCTGCACATTGGGTTCATCAGGTTCTACGTGTTTAGGATGTGAAATTCACAGTAAATAAAATTTCTACAGAAGAATAACATGAAGACAGAGGGACAGATGTGCTGAGATTTTTGTGCATTTGAAAAGATACCCCAAAAAGTCAGAAAAACATTGAAAGTTTATCTGTTACATATCCTGCTCAATTTAATAAAGATTGTGAGATTAGCAGTCATCAGTTTTACATGTTATTTTATCCTCTCTCAAAACCAGGTGTAAATTAGCACCATGTGTGTTGTTGGAGCGGTTGCCAGGTCCCGTGTATTTAGTGAGGAATTGAGCTACTTTTGACTCACAGGCATGATTTCTTTGGCTGTTGATTGTAGTTTGGACATTTTACGTACATTATTTTAATCATATCTGTATATTAAAACATATAGTCGTGATCATGCACTGTGATCTCCTCTCATACACACACCTATTGTTCCTATTCTCAATTTCAGCTCTGTTACTATTTGAATGTATTTGAGTCAGTGGGTTTCCTCATAGACATTCTTTATTTATCACAAAATGTGGAATAATATGAGACCATTGTAGGATCTTAGTGAAAAATTTTAAAAATCAACAAAAGGATTGTTGCTGTAGCTTGCAATTTTTGTAAGTGCCTTTACCTATCGGTTTTGTTTTTATTAAAACATCTAATTTGTTTTATTTAACTCTTCAACTTTTCAGTCCTATGGCATTAATTTCTGGCTTTGTTTCCAAACACTATTTTTGAGATAATTTCCATTTCACTGCTGCTTTTAAACCCTGCAGTTCACACACAGTGCATTTAGTTTGTGTCCCAGGTGCAGTTTGTGTGATTAGTTACAATGTTTTAGTAAATTTCACAGTAATTTCAGACACATCGCAGTCGCATCAAGTCATGTTTTGTGCTGCAATTTCTCACATATGTACATCTGACCCAAAGACTCATCAGTCAAATCATCAGTGTGCAGTGAAAATAAACAATCTTCCCCCTCAGGACATTGATGATGAACCTAAAACTTCTGCTTCAATCTCACTATTAGATAATGTGTCTTACTGAGGAGCAGGTCATGTGACTCTCAGAGAGATGATCTTACCACAGTGTCTCCAGTTTACAGTGAGGATTCTCCAGTAGAGCTGAGAGACTCTTCACTCCTGAGTCTCCCACATTATTATAGGACAGATACAGTTCTCTCAGGTGTGAGGGGTTTGATCTCAGAGCTGAAGTCAGAGCAGCACAGTCTTCATCTGAGACACCACAACCACTCAACCTGTAGACAGACACAATGACACACTCTTCATCAACAGATTTTTATCTTGGTTTACTTGCTATGTTGATGATGTGTCTTTCATGTTGGATTTTCTTATCTCTCTTGACCAATCACAAGAAATAATTAACACTGAACAAATCATTAGCACTGTTCAGTGGCGCTTTAAAAAAACAAACAAAAAAAAAAAACTCTACAGGAATCCTGCAGGATTTACATTTTTTGGCGGTTCTGCAGGGGAACGTTCGCGGAATGATGAAATCCTACAGGACACGTTGACAAACTGTGCAGGATTTTGCTATACGGTTTAGGATGGAGCCAAAGCAGTACAATACGAAACATGCAGGAATTTCCATCACACTCACTGCACAAGGGAAAACTCCTGCAGGATTTTATAATTCTTGAAGGACTGCTGCTCACCTCGTGCAGAAATAAAATAAAGTTCAAAAGTACTTAATCTATCCTGCAGGACGACTTATTTCATTTAAATAAAAAATATTCTGCAGGTTATGTAGTCAACAAAATTTACTTAAAATTGTAATTGTGTCTGCTCTGAGCGGGAAAAGCACGCTGCTTAAACAGTGGTATCTCAATGGTTAAGTCGTTGGTCTACTGATCAAAAGATTGTGAGTTCAAATCCCAGTCACTGTTAGACCTTGAGGCCGGCCTTAACCCTCAACTGCTCAGATGTATAAATGAGAGAAATGTCGCCCCCCGCAAACTGCCGTACAAAAAGATGTGTAGGAACGCTCATTTTAGTATAATAAGACGTGTTTAAGTTGTGAAAGATTCAGTGTTTTAACAAATCAGATGAGTAAATGATTCAATGAGTCAAAACTCAGAAAAATACGCGCCAACTTTTTAAACTTACTGGTGTAATGATGTAATTTACAGAAGGGGCCAGTAAATGAATGCTTTTCAAGAAAATATTCGATTCACTGAGATGACATCACTCTTTGTCATGAAATCTACGTAAAGAAGGTTAGGACGGATGCAAATGCAGATAAGAGTTTGTTTTAGAGAGAGAATTGCAGACAAATCTGAATGACAAGACAAATAGCATGATTAAAATAACAGGCAAAGGGTCAAGCGATTGGAAAACAGTCATAAAGTAGGCAAAGCAAGAATGATCAACGAGCAACAAGAAACAAGATCAATGAACATAAAACAAAACGAGAAACCGGTACAAACACTTGGAAAGACTAAATTAAAAGTCTCATATATAGTGTGGAGTTGGGGTGAGATTCGCAACAGGTGTGTGTGAGATTAGAATTCCGGAGAAGGTGTGTGTGTGTGTGAAATGTAGTCCATGGTGGAAATGTTTGTAGGTGCGAGTGCAGGATGGGAAATGTAGTCAATGGTTTTCTGTGATATGACACTTTGGCACTGCATTACCACAGGTATTCGAATTCACAAATTCAACTGTCACCAACCATGCGTGTGTCTGTAGAGGTATAGTCCCACTTTTATTGAATCATTTCTTTAGTCGTTATGGTGTACTAAATTACTGTTCTGTTATGTATTTACATACAGCAGTTAGCATAACGTTAGTTCACTTACTATCAAACATGGCTACATATATATTTACAAAAATGTTTTACATTTCTTACCAAAACATTACCACTGTTCGAGTGGCGGAGGCCAGAAACTGAACAGAGGGTGGGCCCCGGCTAAAACAGGGGTTCGGGGTTTGAAAATAAATCTCAAAAGCCAGCAGTTGCTCAAAAGAATTTACATGAAGGCGCAAAAAGTGGCCAAAGTGCTTAAAGTCTCTCACTCAATAGGTTTGTTCATTTGCTACTTGTTTATGTAGCACACACAAACACACACATACACACACACACACACACACACACACACACACACACACACACACACACACACACAAAGATTTTGAGTGAAAAAATAATTAAGAAATAATTCCTGTGATTAAAGATGACGTGCACGAGAGTCAAAGGGAAAAGACGCGGTGAGGTGTCTGTTTCAGAAGATAAACTCTTTATTGAACTATTCTGTTACACGGATACACACCACGCAGAAATGTTACTGAGCAAGGTCACTCAATGCAGCTTCTTAAAGTATTGCTGGCTTTACAAGTACGAGTCACGTTTTGTAGACGGATCTCTGTTTATCTCTATGTTTAATGCACATGTACCTAACTGTATGTATATTTATTTATTGCATAAATTATTCTGGAGAGAAATTTTTATCACTTAATGACTAATCTATTTGTTCTGCTTGTTGTACTGTTACAGAAGATTTCAGGTGAAAAATAACACTGTATACAATTGCCGCTTTTAGTGAGTTATTGTGACTCTCAGAGAGATATCTTACCCCAGTGTCTCCACTTTACAGTGAGGATTCTCCAGTCCAGCACAGAGACTCTTCACTCCTGAGTCTCCTAGTGTACCCATACAGATCCAGTGTTTTTACGGTCAGATGCAGTTCTCTCAGATTGGAGGTTTCTGGGAGCTGAGCGCCTGACAGGCAACTTCTCACTCCAAGTGAATTACACCTGATACTGAAGGAATAAAATAATCCATAATGAACTAACACCAATGCAAATGATCAAACAAGTCCTCACAGCTCTCACTGAAAACATTCTCATCTCATAAATACTAAAAGTACAAACAATACCAGTTAGACAATATGCTTAAAGGCTTAAATCACCAGGCCTGTTTCTTCCTACATGCTAGGTACTAAATTAGGCAAATACACAACAAAAAGAAAGAAAAACAAGAACCCAAACACCCGAAAAAAAAAAAAAAAGACTATTAATGAATTGTAGTTTGTGTCAATTTGTACACTTTACTTGCTTCCACTTGTTGATGTAATTAAAATGGATAAGGTTAATAGATAACTACAGCTAACTAGCTAGTATCTAGAGTAGGGTTTACAGTCATCCTGTATAATTGTCCTGTATTGAAAAATAAAATTATTGAGTAAATAAAGGATGTGAGTTTCACAAGAAATAGCAGGAAATGTACACATTCAGTGTGAGCTTGCATGTCAATGTCATTATTGCCCTGTTTACGGAAATTCAGTCACTCGGTTCTTAAAAACTGTCTTCAACACAAATTCCCAGTGAAACACAAGAGACTGTGGAGGTACAGGTGTGAGACGAGATACAGTCCTGTCCCTGAAAATGAATACAACTCAAACTGTACAGTTTACTGTGGAGCAGGTGATGATCATGTCCGAGTGGCAAAAGAGTGAAATCACTTAATTCCTTTTTCCTCAGACTTCCCCTGAAGGGGATATGGCATGTTGCTCTTATTTAATACACCACTTCGGGGTTGGTGGGCAAGAGCCTGTCGCGGCAGCGGCTTCTTGCGTGGGTCCTCGCACACAATGGCAGTGTTGCAGGCCTACCAAGCAGACCTGCTGAGTGAGCTGGATACTGGTGAGGTAATTGGGCCAGAGGCAGTGGCAGAGCGCGCTCGCGTCGCGCCACAGATTTATCTCCGGGCGACCAAACAAACGGCCTGTCATATCGACCGTTCAATGGTTTGCCGTGGTGATAGAGAGCAGAGGCACTCTGCAACCTTGCTGAACGCCCCTGTTGAAACTGCCGGCCTGTTTGGCGGCAGTCAATGCCATACGCCTACAGGTTTCCGCAACACAAAACAGCAGACGGCAGCGTTCAGCCAGTTCCTTCCCCGCCCGTTGGTTCACACGGGCCAAGAGCTATTGAGAGGAGATGCAGAAGACGAGTGTGGTGGCCCGCCTCCCCCGCAGAAAGCCAGGGTGACCGCTCGGCCACAGCCACAGGCCTGATTTATGAATGATCATAAAAGCAAAGCAGGAAGGAAGGAACGGTCCTGATGGGCCACAGAGGGAGACATCAGGGAACATGAGGCTGCTAGGGCATCCAGTCCCCAGTGCTACTTAAGGGCCTGCTCTGGCCAAGGCCATCCCATGTATTCAGTCTTCTCTGGTCAGCGAGCTGTCACAGGGCGATGGAAATCTGATGCTTTCCCTCCAAAAAAATGTGGAAAAGCTAACATCACTGAAAGACTATTTGGCAGCATGGAAACTACTGCCAAATGTGTCCCATGGGTTCTGTCTAACATAGAAAAAGGTTACCGGGTCCAGTTCAGAGCTCGACCCCCCGGTTCAGAGGTGCTCACACAGTGGTCAGCACAGATAGAGCCCAATGTTCCGCAGGAAATACGTTCCCTTTTGGACAAGGGTCATAGATCATTACCCCGTTCCCTAAAGGGAGGGAGATTTTACCACCCGTTATTTCCTGGTCCCAAAAAATATGGGAGCATGCGGCCAATTTTGGATCTGTATCATCTGAACTGTACATACAGACATAAAGGTTCAAGATGCTGACGCTCAAGCTTATCGTGCCACAGATTCAGTCTAAGGACTGGTTTGGGACGATAGAGTGATAAAGACATACTTCCACATAGGAATATCGCCCAGTCACAGGAAGTTCCTGAGGTTTTGCGTTCGAGAAAACACATACCAATTTCGCGTTCTTCCCTGTGGGCTAGCTTTATCCCTCGCACCTTCACAAAGTGCATGGATGCTGCTCTGGCTCTCTTGGGACTCCGGTTCATCCGTGTACTAAACTACCTGGATGACTGGTTAATTCTAGCACAATCCGGGAACAAGCAGTTCAACATCGAGATTTGTTGCTCGCCCACATGAGGAGCTTGGGGCTCAAGTTGAACCTCAAGAAAAGTATGCTTTCTCCAGTGCAGAGGACAACTTTTCTAGGGGTTATATGGGATTCTACTACGATGAGGGTGTTTCCATCCGCAACACATGGTATAACCAATTTATCAAACAACTTTGAGCAAGATAAAGCGAGGTCTAGGCGTTCCCTCCAGCCTTTATGCGAGGCTGTTGGGCCTTATGGGAGCAGCAGCCAACGTCAAATTGTTTGGCCTATTGCACATGAGACCGTTTCAGTGGTGGCTGAAAAGTCGGGGGTCTCATCTGAGGATGAAACCTCTGAGAGTAATCAGAGTCACGTGGCGGTGCCTACGTGCTCTGAGTATTTGGAGGTGCCCGCAGTTCCTAGCCTCGGGTCACACTCTAGGGGCGTCCCCTTACCACCAGACGGTAATGACAGATGCGTCCCTCACGGGCTGGGGTGCAGTCTTAAATGGCTGTCCAGCTCACGGTCTTTGGAGCGGCCCTCATCTAAAGTGGAATATAAATCGCCTAGAGATGTGGGCCGTATTCCTAGCACTGAAATTTTTTCTCCCTCAGTTGAGAGGTCACAATGTGCTAGTTGTATCAGACAACACAGCTGTGGTCTCATATTTCAACCACCAGGGAGGGTTACGTTCATGCCCCCTGTTCAGACAGGCACAACTAATCCTTCTCTGGGCAGAGGGAAAGTTCTTGTCAGTGAGTGCAATGTACATTCCGGGCGCCGGAATGTAAGGGGCAGACATCCTGTCGAGGCAGGGGCTGAGGCCCGGTGGGTAGAGGCTCCATCCACAAGTGGTGGAGTCCATATGGTGGAGGTTCAGACAAGCGGAAGTGGATGTGTTCGCGTCAGGGAGACAACACCTGCCCGCTGTTGTTCTCCCTCACTCCTCCTTCACCATCGGGGCTGGACGCCATGGTGCACACCGTGGCCAGGGGTCACGTCTATATGCTTTCTCCCGATTGCTCTGCGCCCACAAGTT